AAGCGGCTGCCCAAGCGCGGTACGCTTAAGTGAATACGTTCAAGTATTTCTGGTGAGTCTATTATGCTGTGTATAAGCTTGTAAAGGAACACAAAATCAGCTGCTTTACGTCGGGTGCTTAATGACTGGATCCGATAGAACGAAAGGCGTTCCTTATATGATTTCAGTTGGTGACACTTATTATCATTAAAAGCGAGATGATAAAGGAACCGTTTTTGGATTCTTTCTATCCTGTTTGCATGTACTTGATAGCCAGGGCTCCAGACTGTACAACAATATTCTAAAATGCTTCGTACAATCGTATTATAAATAAGAATAGTTAAGCTAGGTTGCTTGAATATTTTCATTTGCCTATTTATAAAACCAGAAAGCCGAGAGGTCCTGCTAATTATGTTATCAATATGGGATCTGAAGCTCAATGCGCTATCCAAGATGATGCCCAAGTCCCGAACAGTATTGACTTCTTGAAGGGGTGTGTTGTTTATGAAGTATGTGGCTTGAAACGGAACCATCTTTCTTGTAAATTTAATAAAATTACACTTTTGCAAATTCAAGTGCATGTAATTCTGCGTACTCCATTTGTAAATCGCATTGATATCTGACTGAAGAGCCATTATATCCGAATGGTCTTCAACAGCACGATACACTTTTAAGTCATCAGCGTATAATTTAAATTTAGATTGGATGACATGCTTAATGTTATTGATGTAGACTAGGAAAAAGAAAGGACCGAGATGAGACCCTTGAGGGACCCCTGATGGGACCATGTGCACTCTAGATTTAAACCCTTGAATGTTTACCAATTGCGAGCGGTTGCGTATGTACGACTCGCACCATCTCAGTAACGATCCATGGATCGCTCTGTTGAGGACTCCCAGCATTTTGGACGCCAACTTGGCTTTGCCTTCCAAATGACTCCGAAATTGGACATCACTCGAACTATCGACCCCAAGTATCCCGATACTCGCGGAAGGTTGCAGGGATACTCCTTGGAATTGCGGCGCCATGACAAAGGGGTCCTTCTTCGCAGTGAACGCGCAAACTTGTGTCTTCAACGGGTTGAATTGAACTAAGTTCGATTCACCTCACTCGGAGACTCGCCCCAGAGAGTTCTCCATTTCAGACACAAGTTTAGATCGTCAACTACTAGTAAGATTTGAAAAATTCTTTCAGTATTAGATAGATAGTCCTGTTCTCCGACGAGAGCAGGATGTGTTTGCACGGTAGCGACCGAGGAGGTCGGGTCTACAGGCGGCCTGGGGAGCGATTTGTGCAGTGCTGTTTCGCTGAAACAGTGGCTTATGTGGACAGCTCTTGTATGATGTGGGCTGGCTGGCATTTCCTTCGACGATAAAACCGAGCTTGTTTTCGTGCCTGGCGGGGGACGCGGAGGCGGTCTTACTTCGGACCTGTTCATTTCCGATATTCTGCTGGAACATGTCATTCCCTATGCGGGATATATCGGTGATGACTTTCTCTTTATGCACGATAACGTTCGTTGTCACACTACCCGTGTAACAACTAAATACCCCGAAAAATTCGGTATCGCCACATTAGACTGGTCTGGGCTCAGCCCTGGCTTGAATCCTATTGAGCACGTGTGGGATGAACTGAAGAGAAAGGTTCGTTCCAGAACTTCTGCTCCTTCATGTCTGAATGAGCTGAAATCGGCGTTGATAGCGCTGGCGGTTAGTAATAATTTTTTTTAATTCGTGAAATCAACATATTTTATCCTTGTTACCCCTAATAAGCTACCATTTACCAACGTTGCTGTAAGGAAAAAAGTTGGGCATCTAGTCAAAAGGAAGCTACTCACGAAAAATCAGCTTGTTAGTAATGAATTATGAAAAGTGTACCAGGGATCCTGTACTAGTTATAGCCTTCCTCGATAAATGGACTATCTAACACTGAAAGATTTTTTTAAATTGAAGCCGTAGTTCCTGAGATTAGCGCGTTCAAACAAACAAACTCTTCAGCTTTATAATATTAGTATAGATAAGTAGGTACCTACTTATATAGATTATTTATTTATATTATTATGCCCTTACTAGGTCGGAAGGTGAACGCGATCGTATAGAAATCGTATGGGACAAGGACAAGCGCGGTCGAAGAAAAAAAGTTAGGAGTTAAACATCTATTACCGTTTTTATTTGCTTGAGTGAAGCGAGCCGCGACGGCATGCTGCACTACGTGGCTCCTTGTCGGGACGCCTTGTCGGGACGCCTTGTCGCGGCGTCTTCATTAGTGAAGCGAACAGCCAACGGTGTCCCACACACCGCGCACCGGTTAATCACACTAATTGCGAGTGCAATTACCAGTCCACCGAACAAACACCGCTTGGTCATTTTCCAACCAACTAATGTTTTATGGGTGTATGGGTTGTATTAGTCGTGTACTATTTTCTTTTGTAATATTTTTTTTAGGTCTGCAAGACAATAAATTGGGCGGTCAACCTGAGGTCATCAGGTGACCGGCGTCCGTGCACGCAAGCCGGACCGGGACGAAGCGCCTCTCACCGGGAGACACTCGATGAAAATATTCTTTGAGAAACAATTAATACAATCCACCACACTACACACGAATCTTAAGCGCACCATGTCTACAAATACGTCTGGCCACCTTCTACATACATATACATAATAATATCTCAATGGCGTAGCATCCGTCATCTGCCACAATATATGCTAATTTCTTTATATCCTCCAAGTTGTGTAATTACAAGCGTCGACGAGGGAGTGAGCCACTTAAACTTTGAACTGCGGCCGATTACTCACATGCTCCTACAAGTGTATCGCCGCGCGCCGGGGAGTCGACATTACGAGTTCATGACTCTACAATGAATTTATAATTCTTTTGAAATACTTTCAATGTCGGTAGATAAGCACCTAGCCATTAGAAACCACAAGGCACTATATTCTGATCAGTTATGAATGTCGGAAATATGTTTGTATGTACAATTAGAGGGCAGGAATAGACACACTCAAAAACCGAATCGCAAATACCATTAACAAAGTGACTGAGAATCGAACCCTGGTCTCGGGACCGTGTCCGTGTGTTATATGGGTTTATTAATACATAGAAGTTGTATCGTTTCTAACAAATTAATCTTATATAATGTAAAATATAAAGATATATGCTGAAAAATATATTATATGCCCATAGTTCCTTGTATGACGACCGCGATATGCGCCTCTCCTATTCTAGTCTGACCCCGCGCAGACAATCCTACTGTATGCTGCATCGCCCTTATATCCGGATCTGTGACAGCTTCGTGGCAAAAATGGACAAATCAGCGCAATACCCGTGTGGGCTCGCCGCCTGTCCGCCGGTGACTTGCAGGTGTGTGCATATAAACGAAATAATAGTCTGCAAATATATTTTACAAACACAACAGATTCTTACGAATTCCTTAAGAACGGGAAAACAGTATCATTTGTAATAGTATTACTATAAACTAATATAACTATAATATGAGACCGCTCTTTATCTTACAATAGAGACGATCCAATAAAACATATAAATATTATCGAATAACATTAGAAAAGTATCGATACGCACGCAACTTGTTAATTTCTCTAATCAGTACTCTATTATTTCCATTGTATTCGTAAGTATCAAATTGTAAATATAATTATTATG